GCGTGAAAAGGCTGCATCCCATTACTCCTGAGCAGTTTTCTTCTCGAGTATGACACTTGGATTGCGATAATAATTGCAACTTTACCCATAAAAAGTACATAAAATGATACGGGAGTAGGTGAGAAGTGTTGTTCCAACTCCCGGTGTTGTCCAGAGTCGGTTATCAGCCGCTCCAGTCGCGCCAGCTGTCGCTCCTCTAGCCGCCCGCCCCAGATGCGACGCGATAGCCGCACGGAGTACATGTTTATGAAGCGGCAAGCCCCATAAATGCCCTGCTTTTCGAATCGTGCGGCTGTCGGACCTTTTCATATGCATCATCGTGGCGTTCTCTCGGGAGGCCGCGCAGCCGGCGAGCAGCTCGTAAACACGCGTTCGGAAGGAGCGCCTCGTGATCCCGAAATTACGGGCCGAGATCAAAACCGACTAATGTGTGCCCTGCGTCCGGGCCGCCGGGGCCCGCGTCGTCGTAAACCAAAACGGAAACGGAGAGGGAGAGAAAAATTGGGCCGGGCTACCAGAACTGAGGGCCGTCATCGTTTTTTAGAGGCTTTCCTCGCCACAAACCGGGGCAAACACACACAATAACACGCACGATCAAACAAATCATCTGCAGCTGAGCCAACCGGCGCGGCGCGGCCCGGTTGGGTGCACGACGCGAGCGAGGAGGCCACCGTGAGGACGCTCTCGGGGCCTCCTCCGGGTGCACCTCCACGACGGCGGCGTCCGCCCCCGGGGGCCACACGGTGGGCCGTGCAGGACCCGATACTTATCGTTGTACTTATTATTTCATACGCAATGAAGGCGAATTACGGAGCGGTGGTGGCGGCGTGCCCCGGGGCCATGCGCTCCCCGCGATGCATGCGGCGATATACGCCCCGCCCCGCCCTACCCCGCCCCGCCCCACCGCGGAATGCACGGCATGCACCGCCAGGTGGCGCGGCGGGCGGCGTGTCATGTCGTGATAACACCCAAGTGTGAAGTGGACGGTCCGGTCCGGTCCGGCTGGCAGGCCGGGGCGGGCAAACTCCAGGAATGAGGGAATATCTTCACGCACGGCGACGACGCCTTTTTTCAGTTTCCGACAACATTCCGCGGTGCCCCCGGCCGGCCTGGAGGCGCGAGGTGGACGGGCAGGGGCGGACCGAGAAGAGAATTTATAGGAGTCGCGGGGGGGGGGGAGAGGTACTCCTAACCTATTTGTGTCACCGCGCCACATATGGAGGCCCCCTCCCCCCTCCACTCTCCCGGCCGCTACCCACGGCCACCATAACATGCATTTCCCTGATAAAACGTTTGTTTTACGGCCGACCCGATGGGTCACATCATCATGGCCCCGACAAGCAATTCATGGACAAACGACGACTTCGTGTCGCCACAAAACTGAAAATAACCCGTGGAGAGGAGAGAGAGAGAGAAAAAAAATAATAATAACAATAAGGATAGGAGGGGAAACGAGGTCACACGGACCGGGGGCGCGATACCAACCACACACACACGTCATTTTGTTTTATTGTGCGTCTGACGTGCGTGTGGGGGAGGGGGAGCACATGGGAGCGCAACCCGTCACACAAAGGGTTCGATGGCACCGTTTGTTGGCAACACCGTGTACGTTGCCACCACAGTGTATATAGGTTGCCACCACCGAGGTTAGCGCACCACCCCGTAGGTTGACACCACCCCGTAGGTTAGGTTGGCACCACCCTGTAGGTTGGCACCACCGTGTAGGTTGGCGCCACCGTGTAGGTTGGCACCACCGTGTAAGTTGGCACCACCGTACTCCAGTTTGGCGCCATGTAGAGCGACTGGCGACGGGGGCATCGTGTCCGCGCCCCGCGCCGTCCGTGCGGCGGGGTCACCGGTAAAGACTTCCCTGGCGCGCAGGACTTCGTCGGACTCCAGGCGGGCAGGTCCACAGCGGGGTGCACCGCGGGGATAATGAGGCAGCGCTGGGGGCCCATCAGGGCTGCCAACACAACGCCAGGCAACGCCAGGTGCGGCATAACAAGATCAGCGTGATGAGATGCGATAGTGGCCCCCGCGAGTGTGAGAGAGGGAGAAAGAGTGAGAGAGAGCCACAAAGCCGCAAATGAATAACTTTGTTTTAATGTTGTGACTGAAACAAATTAGCCGGGAAAGAGTTGGCATGTCAGGTCGGGGCGGGGCCGCCTCGCCGTGTCCGCCAGAACCGACTGCGGCCCGCAGTACTACAAGACGTCCTAATCATCGCCATGGCATTATTTCGAGGCCCACGGGCGAAATGCGGCGGCGTGTGTGTGTCATGAAGCGACAACGACATGTGTTCCTTATCGAGATGCATAAAAACAGCGGAAAACGGGAACGACGGGCGGGTTAATAAAAACACGAGTCAAGAGAGTGAGAGAGAGAGAAAAGGGGTGAGGTGGGGTGATTTCGCAGAAGAATTTCACCCCGTTGCTGCTGCTACCGCGGGCCGCGGGCACGAGGTTGCCAAGGCAAGGTAAGGTTCGTGCCCCTCGACCCATTTGCCGTGTCGAGGACGCCTCTCTTTGAACGGCCCGCACGGCCCGCTTCCTTACCTTACACCCCCGAGATGGAAATAATAAGGCCGCGAGTAATTAACAACGGCAGCACGCTCTTTCTCTTTCTCTCTCTCTCTCTCTCTCTCTCCCTCTCTCTCTCATCCACACACACGGGTCTTTTCATTAAACGCAGAGCCCCTCCGGTTCCGCTTTGCACGTGGAATGCTGCGCCTCAGTAGACCCGCACGTGACCCCCCCCCCTCCCCTCCCTTTCCCTCCCCCGGTCCTTTAACCCGCCCGTAGAACGCCCCTCCTTCCCACCCCACACCCCTCTCCCACCCACAACAACCCTTTTTCTTTCCCGGAACTCTTTCCGCTAGGAGGCGTCCCCATGCTCTTCCCGAGTCCCCCCTCGAGACATGCGAGTGTGAGTGCATGTGTGAGTGCACAGCTTAGGCCATCCGCCCGCCCGGCCCGCCCCGCGACACAACCTGCTCAGGTGAACCAAAGCAACTAGCTACTTTATCTGCCACTTTAAGCCACCCCCCACAAACACACCGCAAAATTTCGCTATCGCAAACTATTGCTTCGATAGACAAAATAATGTGTCTGTTTGCTGCAGGCGGAAACGTTCGCAATTTCACTAAAGATACAATAATTCCGAAACAAAATAAGAACTTCAAGGATTTGCATGAACTACAATTAAATAGCCAAGCTGCCTCTCAAGAAATCAAGGGAATGTAGAAAAAATCACCCTCACTTTTCACCCGCCTGCGTCGCACGCAAAAAACGCTAACGACCAAACACTTAAAAACAAGACGAATTAGAGAACGGACACAACAGGAAATAATTTTGTAAAAACGTTCAACAACAAGTCTACCACACGGCCGTCACGGGCAAAGTCGTCGTCGTCAGCGGCGGCGGGGGTGCGGTGTATCGCGGCATTTACGGCTCTACACTTTTATCACATGAGCATAAAGCGTGTGATAGCAGCGGGGGTGCATCCGATGCACTCGCTGCACTCGGGGGGGAGAGCGCTGTATGGTGCACGGAGGTAAGTGGCACCGGTGCATCTGTAAGTGCGAGAGAGAGGGGGGAGAGGGAGGAAGAAGTAGAAAGAGAAAGAGAGAGAGAGAGAGAGAGAGAGAGAGAGAGATACGGCAGTGGCGCCCGTTGGCCGCTCGTCTAATGGCCGTCGCCCATCCGTCATGGCTGATTGGCACCCCACCGTGAGAAACGCAGCCGAGGAGGAGCGAACAACATCGACGTTTGAAAAAAACAAACATCCGTCACATTAATTTGAAGCATTGAAAGGGTATATTTTTCACGGCTCGTTTCTAATTCGAAATCCACGTAAATAATGGATAGAAATCAATATGCGGGATGGCGCGCGCGCGTTTGTTTTTGTCTCTCTTTGTCCCACGCAGCCTCCCCGGGCCGCCGTCGCCGCTAAGGGGCTATCGCCGTCGCGCCGGCCACAACAAATGGCACACTCCATCACCTTGACCCCGGACAAGACGACAAAACATCGTCATCTCTATAAATCGCTTGGGCCGGGGCTAACAACCCTGGGCAGGCCAATAGGTAAGCAAGGGGGACCCCGCTGGGCTTGGGGCACCCTGGCTGGCACCCACCAGACTGGGACCCCGCGGGACACCCGAGGACACTCACGAGGACCACCGCCACCGCAACGCACCGGGCCGGTGGGTGGTCAGTCAGTCGCTCCCTACGGCGTCGAACCATAACAAGCAGATTCTTTATTTGACGATGCCCCCCCCCTCTTCCTCTGTCTGTCTCTGTCTCTCTCACACACACACACTCACGACGCACGCACGTTTGACGCAGCCTTGCCAAAGTCCATGCAACAAGCTCAGGGAGGCTCTTCTTATCGCAGAGCCAGGAGGGAAACAACTGTCGGTCGGTTCTCACACATCGCCGGCCAGGCACACGGGCGATGCACACTGCATATTACGCAGGCGCGATTAGATCAAGCGCAGCTCTGGTTTCTTCAACCGCAGCTGAATCACTGAGCCGCAAGCGCGCCAGGTTCAAATACCCCCACACTGCGCAAGCGGCGACAAGCAAGGAGAAGAAAAAATCGGAAAATTAAAAAATGTCAAAATACTATATTTGTTATTCATCCCGGTGCTGTCATCGCGCGGCGCGTATTCATACACATGGCACGCCAGATGAAAACAAACGAAAAATTTCGGTTTGACAGCGTGAGGGGCGAGAATATAAGGGGGAGAGAAGGAAAATTTGAAATTCAACCGGAGAAACGCACACACGGCGGAGGTGGGGGTCGGGGTAGGGGGTGCGTATGGGACTGTCGGAGGAATGTTTCAGGTTGGTTAGGCCGGCGTGCGCAGCCGTTCGTATATGGTGCGGAACAACGGGAATGTAAATGTTGTGTGAGTGTGTGGGAGGAGGCGCGGGGTGGCGTACCCGGTGAGCTACCCGCGGCCGGTAGCTCCTGGCCGTCGACGCCGTCGACGGACTCACCTTGCATGTCGTGGTCCCGGGCGGCGTGGCAGTCGCCCCGGCCGGAGCACAGCAGCAGCGCCAGCACCAGCAGCGGCATCGGCAGCGCCATGGGGGCCGCGGCCGTGCGGCAGCAGGCACTGCAGAGCGTGCGGCAGCGCGTGCGCGCCATCCTGCGGCCGAGTCACCTCACAGCCACGTCCATGGCACGCGTCCTGCGGGCATAAACACCAAAAAGAGACACGTAAGTTTGTTTTAGGGTGGATTTGAAAATTGTGTCAAATTCGTGTCCCTGGACCTTTAATCTTGAATGCGAGGCACACGAACATCGTTCGGAGTCGAAACGCATGCAGAAGATCGAGATGGACTAGGAACACAACTCAGTTTCGTCAATGTTGACACCAGCAGGTCACGGGGATGACAGGAAGGGCCAAAATACCCGTTTTTGGCGTGTCCCTGTTTCCATTTTTGAAGTTTAAAGCACTCGGATAATTAGGAGGGGAGCGTGAAGGTCAAAACCAAAAAATAGTTCAATTGTAGAATGAATCAATAATCATTTTAAGCCAAAGCGCGTTCAAAAATTTTAAAAATTGGTGAAGATATAACAATATGAATGTCTGTCCCCAGGTTTTTGAACTTTCCCATTTTAAAAACATAAATCAAGTTTAAAAACTTGTCTTTCTGTTTAGAAGTACACTCTCAGTCAAAAATAACTCCTCAGACCATACGCTTCGAGAATCAATACGGGTCAAACCTCCCGAACAAGTTTAAACATGTTTTTTTCTACAAACAAGAGAGCGTACAAAGCTGAAAAATAGCAAAAATCGTCAAGAAAGGGGGGGGCTCCAATAGCTACACTGCTCAGGGAGTCACGGGGATGACGCAAAGGGAATGGCCACAGGGAATGACCACAGGGAATGACCACTGGGAATGACCACAGGGAATGACCACAGGGAATGACCACTGGCAATGACCACAGGGAATGACCATCGCTCCTCGGAGTGTCACGGGGATGACACAGCGTCCATGACCGTCACGGGGATGACACTGCACTCTAGACCGTCACGGGGATGACAACGCCGCCAGGTCCGACGTGCTCTGCGTCTTTGCTCCTTTATCTCTGCGTATGGGCAAGATATCGTCGTTTCTCTCACACCATGAGTTAACTTTGGACAAGTTCTTTCGAACGAGCTTGTCTTGCGTTGTTCCTTGATTACTCCTAACCCATTACGATATTTGGCATTTTGACTGCACCTTTGTCTTCCTCTCGAAAAAACCTTTCAAACGAGTATAAGGTTGATGGGGTTCTGAAGGCTAGGAGGCTACTTGGCGCAGAATGCATCGGAACCCCATCAACCTTATACTCGTTTGAAAGGTTTTTTCGAGAGGAAGACAAAGGTGCAGTCAAAATGCCAAATATCGTATTGCTTTAGGAGAAATCAAGGGAAAACGCAAGACAAGCTCGTTCGAAAGAACTTGTTCAAAGTTAACTCATGGTGTGATAGAAACGACAATTTCTTGCCCATACGCGGAGATAAAGGAGCAAAGACGAAGAGCACGTCGGACCTGGCGGCGTTGTCATCTCCGTGACGGTCGTTGACTTGTTGTCATCCCCGTGACGGTCCTGTACGCGGTGTCATCCCCGTGACCGTCCATAAAGCGGTAGTCATCCCCGTGACGGCCTTGGGCGCGGTGTCATCCTCGTGACCCTCCAAATAACGGGGGTCATCCCCGTGACGGTCCTGTGCGGTGTCATCCCCGTGACCCTCAGGAGGAGACCGATGGTCATCCCCGTGACCCTCAGGAGGAGACCGATGGTCATCCCCGTGACGGACTTTATGGCGCGGTGATCATTGGTCATCCTCGTGACGGTCCTGTGCGCGGTGTCATCCCCGTGACCCTCAGGAGAGCGATGGTCATCCCCGTGACGGACTTAGGCGCGGTGTCATCCCCGTGACCCCCCGTAGAGCGGTGGCCATCCCCGTGACCCCCCGTAGAGCGGTGGCCATCCCCGTGACGCCCCTTGGCGAGTTTTCATCCCCGTGACTGCTGAAATTCACCCCTCAAAAAGCGCTCTCCGGATTTGACACAATTTTCAAATCCACCCTTTACATCATGTTTTCGACGGCGGCGTTATAATGCAGTTTCTTCATTTTACAAAAACGTATGATAAAAAAAATTCAGGATTTTTTCTCTTAAATTTTTAATAAAGAGTTATTATTTTCAAATTTTTCTGGAAATATGGCGATTTTTTCCGATTTTTTTTAAAGGAAAAGTTTTCAATATATACGGAAAAATTTCGGGAGACTATGAAATCCCTAGCGAGGCGGTCACGACTGCGGTGTCCTCAGTCGTCCTCGCCGCGCGGAGGACGGCGTCAATCAACACACTCGCTTCCTGCGCCGTGCCCGGGCCGTGCCCACTCCGCCCCGTCGCCGTCCAGGATATGGCAGTCTAAGGTTACACCCTTATGGCCGCCGGCCGACCATGCCATGGGACGGGTCCACCGCGAGACGGGTCCATGGGACGGAACGAAACAGACGGCCATAAAACGCCAGCGCAGCCGAAACGGACACAAAAGGGACATGAGCAACAATAAAACAAACCAATCTAGACGGCCGTAAATAAGATCACGATTAACTATTACGGACCGGCCGGACGTGGCTGGGAATAATCAGCGTTATGAAAAAGATGACGATTGTCCGTCCGTCCGTCCGTGCGGTCCGAGAGGGGGAGCAGACGTGGGCAGGGCCGACCGACCCTCCCCAACCCCGCCGGGCGGGCCGACGAGCTCCTCCGCGCTGTAAACGGTTCATATCATTCTTCCAATTTCCAATCGACGGATGTGTCCGCCGCGCGACCCCTTGCATCGCCCCTCCCTGCCCCGCCCCCCCCCGCGAGTTTGGCTGCCGCTGCTGTGCGCTGCCCCGGCGCGTCGGTCGCCGCTGCGTGCTCGCGCCTCGTTCGATCGCATTCGGTCCGCTTCGGCGACGAGCCATTCCGCGCCATGCCATTCCAGCCACGCGCTGCCCCGCCCCGATGACTGCCATATCGGGGCTGCGCCAAATCTTGTCGCCAGCCCGCCGCGCCCCGCCCCGCCCCGCGCCCCGCGCCCCCGCCACACGTGTGGTCCACGTGGTCCACCAGCTGCACGCCGCCATATTTCACTTTTACGGCACCGCCCGGCCCGGGGCCGCCCTTGCATCATTTTATTTGTCCCCGAGTATGGCCCTCGAGCGCCCCGTCCCGCCGCGGGTACCGATACCCATACCCACCCGGTCCCCAAGGTGACGGCGGCGGCACCGCCCCGTCGCGCGCCCGCACCGCAGGCGACCTCGCCGCTCTCGGGAGGGAAGGAGTCAGATTTCCTACCGCCTGCTGCCTCCATGGGCGTCGCCGACCTCCACAAAAACGAGGATCGCTGACTCCGCGGGGCGGTATATGCTCCAGGAGGACCGAGTCCAGGACTGCGCAGCGCACCTCCCACAACGCGACCTCACCCCCCTTTTCCAGGGTCGTTATCGCAGAGGCTAAACTGGGACGGCGGCGTTGGGCATGGTGGACAAAAGTTTCTCCAGGATACTTTTTTTAGGGGTCCTCCAGGGCTGAAAAACGGTTGGAGCAAGAGCAAGCAAGAAGCAGCAGCAAAGGGAAGTCGGCCGACGTGTCTGGGCACGGCGAGGGCCTCGGCCGTGCCTGCCGGCGCTATCTGTGCCGCGATAAGCTGCACCCTCCTCGACCCTCCCAAACGCCCGTCGGTGTGACCCTCTCCTCCAGCCCGGCCCTACACTGCACCGGCCGCCACGCCCCGCCACGCCAAAGGCACTTCATTTATCATCGCCCCATACCGAACTCTCCTTCGGTGACAAAGTGTCGTCTTTTTTGTCGTTTTTCGGTTCGGGAGAGAGAGAGCGAGCGAGCGAGCTGCGCGCAACCACACCAGGCGCGCTCGAGTGTGCATGCAAGAGCGAGAGAGCGAGAGAGAGCGAGAGAGAGAGAGAGAGAGAGAGAGAGAGAGAGAGAGAGAGAAGGGGGAGGGCGGGCGACGGACGGTCGGGCACATGCGTCGAATAGGTAACTTTTCCCGGGCGTTGAAAAACGTCCGCCCCGTTGTCGGCGGGCCGACGTGAGGCGACGCGAGTCGAGGCGACGGACTCCGTCATCAAAGGAGCGAGCAAGCAGACCGGAAAGCGCGACATGCCGCCTTTATTAAACCGCGAGGCGATATGGTGTGGCAGGGCGGGGCGGAGCGGGGCGCGATGTGTGCTGACGACAGGTGCAGCAGCGCTCGATCACTGTGGCGGGGCCCCCGCGCGCTCCGCGTGCGATGACGTAGTACCGCCCGGGCCGACGCCGACCGAAAAGAGGGATCGAGAGGGAGGGAGGGAGGGAGGAAGGGAGGGAGGGAGGAAGGGAGGGAGGGCTGAAGGAAAGAAAAGAAACGCCGGAGGGGCGACGTGTGCCTGGCGGCCGCTGCGTTGCCGTCCGGCCGCCCCGCCCCCGCCCCGCCCTCACGGAGCGTGTGCCTGACAGGGACCTACCCGACAGTATTTGCGCAGGTGTGAAGAAGGGGCGGGGTCGGGTCCCAGTGGAGCACAAACCGAACGGCACCTCGCCGTCAAGGAGAGGAGGAGGAGGGCGGGCACACAGGAAGGATGCAGCGGAAGCAGGTCCGAGCGGGGTGGCGCGGGCGGGCACGGGGGCCTGCTGGGCCCCCCCACACCCTGGACGGGGGACCCCCTCCGCCTGCTGGCTGGGGGAGGAAATGTCCCAATTCTGGGCGCGCGCGCCTGCTGGCAGGCAAGAGGACTATCGGAGATGAAGGGGGAGAGGGGGCCACACTCGGAGCACTGCTACTCAACTTCCGAACGCCCGTCTCGTCCCGCCCAGCAGTCTCGAGAGATCGATCTCGGCATCTTAAGCACTGGCCAGATCGCCTTCAGGGACCGAGGAGGGAGGGGGCCACCCCACACCCCACCCCCTTCCAATCAGAACGCCGGCCACGTCACTGCCGCCGACCAGACCCCGCGGCCTGGCCCACCCGCGCAGCAGCAGCGAGTGCATAGCGCCCCATATCTCTCTCCTTGCTCAGCCACAGAGAGGCGAGGGCCCCTCCCCAGCCTCTCCCAGTCGTCGTCTTTGCAAATATAAAGTTTCATCCTGGGTCATGAGCGTTACGCCGCTACGCCGCACTCGTTCCGACTGCTCGTCCAATCACGCCGCGGTGCAACACTCAGAGAGTCCTCCCTTCTCCTTCCCCGCCCTCCTCCTCGACTTGCTTCCTCTGCTCGCGGAATAAGCCGGCGCGCGGCCCGCCAGTAAAAACAAAACCCTGGGAAATCTCGCGTCCCGTTAGCGGGCAGCAGCAGGGGGCCGAGCCGGGCGGAGCCGGGGGGGACCCACGCCCACGCATTTGCATAGCCGCGCAAAATCGAGAAACGGCATAAAATTTTCCCTTTACGCGGAGCGATATGACGACGACGACGACTGACAGAGAGAGACAAAAGAAAACTAGGGAAAAGCAGGAGGGAGAGGGAGACGCGAGAGGGTTTCTGCTGCTGCTGCTGGGGCGTTTAGGAAAGAAACGAAAACACTCTTCCCCGCAGTCGGCATAGTGGCCGAGCATAAGCGTAACCTTTTATGTGACTGCGGGGTGGGGCGGGGCGGTGGAGTGGCAGCGGGGGGCGCACCGAGCGCACCTCTCCACTCGCGGGACCGGCTCGGCAGAGAGGAGGACCCGACGACGCCCACCGGCCGCCGGCCCGACGCCCACCAGTCGACACCATGAGGGGGGAGGGGGGCACTTGAATCAAATGAGTCTCGGCAGCGTAAAACGAGTTAATGAGGCCAACAATGTACCCAAAGCAGGGGGAAAAGGCGGGAGCGGCGTGCCAAGCACATGCAGATCCGACAGTGGCGGAGAGGGGGGGGGGGACAGCGACCGACCGGCCGCGAAAAGGTTACGAGACTCACACATCCGCCGGGGAAGAGTTAAACTCGACGGATACAGGGTTGGCCGTTGTGCCCCGTTTTAGCAAATTGCGTATACTAGCCGTCTCGATTTAGGCGCCCGTGCAAAATAGACAACCCGGCCGCGGCTACTATTACGCATGCCTCCTAGAGTTTAGGCCCTAAACAGGGCACCGCGACTACCCTGCGCACCGAATAGCAAACTTTCCTAGAGGTCCTGACCGCTTTGTCGTGAGGCTCGGCGGGCAGGTTTGCAGCGACGAGCGGGTGGGCCCTGGCAGGCCCTGGGCCAGGTCGCCGCCAGTGGCCCCGGCCAGGTCGCTCATGTCAGTCTGGCCGGCTGCCTTTTCATGAAAATGCATGTCGAGGTAAAGGCGGGTGTGCCTGTGCCCCGGGGCGGCGGCCGGCCCCGCCAACCGGGCCAGGGGTGCCGGCCGGTGCCGACCGGTCTGCCCTGCCGTTGCGACTTCAATGAGTATACTCGGCTAAGTTGACGTCAGTTTGATTGGGTAAAAGGGTAAGGAAAATAATAAACCGTGACTTCAGGTTAGGTTCCCTGAAGAGAGGGAGAGGATACTTACAACACACTATGCGGCGAACGGCGGGTAATCCACAATATCCAAGAGTATTCAGAAATGCACACTGGGTGGTTTAAAGCACTTGTCACAACACTCGATAACACAAACAAACACTCCCACGCACGCACTAAACCGCTTGCGGAAAGGCACACTTCCGCGTTGTCTAATGCTGAGGGAATGACACTGTCACACGCGGCGGGCGAATGGCACAAGCGCACAACCGCGCACAACACACTCACACACACTCCGAATGCGAACGCGCACACGCGACTCCCGCGACTCGTTCGGGCACAACAGCGGCGCGCGCACAAGACCGACACAGACCCTGCCTCGACGGCGTTCCACGCGCAACTGACTCGCTGGCGGCTGACACGCCGTGCAGTGTGGCCAGATGCCGAGCGCGCCGAGTCGCCACCAGGTGGCGCTCGAGTCGCCAAAAGTCGCCACGAGCCCGAAGTCGCCAAAAGACGCCACAATAGCACGAAAATCGCCAAAAAATTCGCCAATCACGGCCTAGGATTTTGGGGGAATTTCCCGAAATGTCTGCGCCGGGTCGGCTGCACCGGCCTTTTTGAGCCGGGCCAGCCCCGGTTTCGGGCCCATGTCGCTCATTTTCACCCAAATTCGGCAAAAGTCGCCAAAAAAAGCAAAAATCGCCATTTTTTTTAGAAATCGCCAAGAAAGTCGCCAGTCGCCAATGGCGACTTTTTTGTCGCCAAACCAAACCAAAAATCGCCACTTTGGCGAGAAATCGCCAAGTCTGGCCACACTGACGCCGTGCGCCGTGCTGTGGCTGCCGCCTGCGGCCGGGCTCCGCCGCGCCGGCCGGGTTCGGTGCGCTCCGCGCCGCCCCCACCCACCCCCCGGCCAGGATCCCACTCCCCCCCATGCCATCCCCCAACGAGCGGCTTTCAGAATCTAGATGATGGACATGAACATCGCCGTTTGGTCGGGGGAGGGGAGAGGGGGGAGAGGGAAGGCCACTATCGCGGACGCTTGTCGCATGCTTGTCAAGCTCCACCCGAACTGGTTCCGCCGCTACCGCCGCCCCGCACCACTGGACTGACAAGTTTTTATTATTTGGCTGAGCAAAGGCGTTCGATGATCCTCCCCCCCCCCCCATCCTTTTCTTCACCCAACGGCCTGACCGGATGACCAGGGCATAAATCCCCCGGCGCGCGCGCACACGGTCACTCACACACACACACTCACACACGAGCCCGAAAATTGAATTTATGACTGTTGTTTCAGGTTTGGCGCCCGTGGCGTCCCGCGGACAAGACGTGTATTTAATTTAAGGCGGTATACGGCGGACGCCGCCGCACACTCACTCGGCCCTCCGATGCCTCCTCCACGGACCACGGCGGCAATTATTGATGTTCCAGGCAATCAAATTTAGTTCTCTGGTCCTCTGCGGTGATACAGAAAACACTATACTATCTCCCGCGGAACCTGCGCGGTCTAGCTGCCGGGCATCAAATAACTATACTCACTCCCACTCACCATAGGTCCTCCTCCACACGAACTCGACCAATTTCTCATACCCGGAAGGCTCCACCTCTCATATGCACATGCATGCGTCGTCGCGGGTCCGTCTGCTGCTGCCTGCTGCGCTGCTAATCGCGGTGGCAAAGCCAAACAATGCTGCTAATTGTTTTATAAAAATGGCTTAATTGGGGCTGCGTGAGTAATTATCGGACGCGGCTGCTTAGCATATGATAATGAGGGCCCAGCGGGGGCTCCTGCCGCGGCCCCACCCCGCCCCGCCCCGCCACTCCCACCGGCACACCACACCGGCCGGCCCGGCCGACCAGAGGCCCCCCGATATCGTCAGAAAATTGAAACGGCCGAGCGGCTCGCTGACTAGGAAATGACGGTGCTTACACCAACAATTTGAGCCTAGGACGGCTCGGGGCCGCCCGGGACGATCGGGGTAATCAGCACACATTATTGTATCTCGCCTCGTCAAGCAAAACAAACAGCCCGGCAGCTGCCTCCGCCCGGCCCTCCAGGTACGATCAGCTGATCACGGCAGGCCACCGCCACCGCCGCCCGAGAGCGAACGGGTGGGAACCGTTACCACAAGTATGGGTGAAAAAGGGACTCAGTTGCGGTCAGCAGCGGGCGAGTGCGAGGACGGTTGCCTACTTCCTCCTGGACCACTACTGACTGCGCGCCGGAGAGGGGAGGGGGCGTCCTCTCGGACCCCGGGATCCCCTTTGAATGAGTGGATGTCGGGCATTCTCGGACGCGGCCCCAGGTGGGCGGGCAGGGGAGGGTTTTTTATTCACCTTGGCAGCCCCGCCCCGCCACGCCACGCCCCGGCCACAGCGGACCTTTACTTTACTTTTCTCTCTACCTTTGTGTTCGGCGGCCCGGCCCGTGCGTCCCTCTTGCTCTGTGTTGTGACATTTGTCTGGACGGACGAAAGAAAAGTCGGACTAACCTCACTTGGTCCCCGCCCGGGGTCCCTAACCCCACTCTTATGCCGCCCAGGTGGTCCTGAACCATGAGAGAAGGGCGCCCTGGAGAAGAAGCTTTACAGCCCCTGGCCCCCGCTTTTGGACCTGGGAAACCAATAGGCTCTGGCTGCGTTCATTTCTCGCACACGGCGTTGAGTTCATGAGATTCCTGACTGTTTTCCCTATAGAACTGTCTTTTGCCCGACTTTCTGCGATCAAAATTGCGCTTATCAGAGCCGATCACTGAGCGCATTCGAGGTCGGCGGAGCCGGCGGCCGCCCTGGCTGCCAGCCGGTCTGGGCGGTTTCGCCCTGTTCGAGCTCGCAGCGCCCATATGTGTCGACCAAATGAGTTAAGATTTGGTACCTGAGGGTTTTCGAGCATGCCGATTTCATTTCCGGTGTCAGATTTTACTTCCGGGGTCATCCTAGGGGCGTTATCGGGGACCTTGACCCTTGTGTTCCCCCGGAACGACCCGGGTATGACCCCGGAAGTAAAATCTGACACCGGAAATGAAATCGGCATGCTCGAAAACCCTCAGGTACCAAATCTTAACTCATTTGGTCGACACACATGGGCGCTGCGAGCTCGAACAGGGCGAAACCGCCCAGACCGGCTGGCAGCCAGGGCGGCCGCCGGCTCCGCCGACCTCGAATGCGCTCAGTGATCGGCTCCGATAAGCGCAATTTTGATCGCAGAAAGTCGGGCAAAAGACAGTTCTATAGGGAAAACAGTCAGGAATCTCATGAACTCAACGCCGTGTGCGAGAAATGAACGCAGCCAGAGCCTATTGGTTTCCCAGGTCCAAAAGCGGGGGCCAGGGGCTGTAAAGCTTCTTCTCCAGGGCGCCCTTCTCTCATGCCTGAACCCCGCGCCGCCTCCTGGGCCGTATTCACCGCCGTGAGGAGGGAGGGAGGGGTTGCCGCGTCCGTATTCATCTTATTATCATGCTCTTTAAAACGCACGAACGCGTACGTGTTGCGAGCGGGACATAGTACGGTTAGTGTGGGTCCTCTCAGGTCCTCGTGCGGTACGGACTTTGTGCAGCAGCAGCAGGACGAGCGACAAGTTTCTCATAGCCACCTGCGCCGCGCGTCACGCCACAAAACAAAAGGAGTGTCGACCACACGACCGTGCAGGGGCCCGACACGACTTTATACGCCACTCTACTCGCTACGATTCAATCGCGGCGGTGGCGCGCGTCCGGATAAGCCTCTCTCTCTCTCTCTTTCAGAGAGCGGGCAAGAGTAAGAGAGAGGGCAGAGAGAGAGAAAGGAGATACACCGCCGCGCCGCCGCGGACGTGTACCGGCCAGGCAGGCACGGCCGGGCAGAGCAGGGCCCGGAGACAATAAGAGGTATAAACGGGAGGGCAACATGTCCCCCTGTCTGGGCCCGCGTGCGTCGGTACGCTACGCCCCACACGCCCCGCGCCTGACCAGGACATGCGGCCGCGCCTGGCCTCATCACCGACCAAACCGAACAACAGCCCGAAGAAAACGACAAAAAAAAACAGCGCGTGGTGGTGAAAAGTCATAGCAGCACGACGGGGGTGACTGAGATACCGCGGTAGGTAGAATGAGGCGGGTCAGCCAGCACCGGCCAGCACAGCATTTGCGAACCCACGGACGGGATGGCACTAGCCTAGGCTCCAGTGCAGTTGAACAAGCCGTCGTAATAACCCTTTTGGAAGTTGAAGTTGAAGACGAAATGTGGCGGACGCGCGACTCGGCGCGTCGGTAACGCCCGGTGGTGTGTGTGGGAGGAAAGGGTGTCCCGGGTGTGGTGGTGGGGGGCAATGAATGCGGTGCAGCCGTACAACGGCGGCAGACACCTGAGCGGGCGAGGGCGGCGAGCAGGGCAGCACGCTGATGGGATTTACTACAATGCGCGACGCCAGAAGTGTTATCGCCGAGGCGATCGCTGCCGTCGACCCGGGGCCGGGACCGACCGGGGCGACCGACCGGGACCGGGTCGAGCTGGACAGCAACAACATGGAAGCGAGCAGGCTTTCCGGGATTGGGGCTCATTTTGGCTCCAATCAAAAGGCTGTAGTGTAATTCCGCTCCTCCGGATCTCTATCGCCGCTGCTGCGCCTCCGCGCGAGGCCCGTTGCTGCCGCTCGCCCTATTCAGCCCTGCTCACGCATGATGGGCGCTTGCATGCAGCAGGCAGCGCCAATCAACAGATTTACCGCGTCGAAACACACACGCCGCGCGCACACAACGCACTCGTCGGGCCGCGTTTCCTATTTTCTCTCTCGTTTTTCTTTTTCATTTTTTTTTCCAGGGCGCGAAACATGACAACGGCTGCATTACCAACGAGGGAGTCGCGCTCGCGTCATTCATATTCTATTCACGACGGACGCAGCGGGCGCAGCGCAGCAGTCTGCCCTGCTTATCTAACCCGGGGCGGGCGGGTACCATTCTTTGTCCTCCTCCCGGCGCCGAGGGCCGAGGCGCCGCTGTCGCGCACTTCCGATGACCCGCACGACGGGGGCGCGTATCGCATACCTCGGCCAGCAGCGACAAGGGAGGCGTCAGTCACACTAGCAACGCGTCAATGAAATGTTTCCGGGACGGCGGGTGGACGTGCGCGTCGAAGGGGAGGGCGGCGAGTGAGCAGCAATCTTGATGGGGAGGAAGGGGACGCTATCCCCGCCGGGCCACCGCCGCCGGACCCGACCGACGCCGGCGGCGGCGGCGCGGGGGACGGGAAGAGGGACAAGATTCCTATTTGCGTGCTGTCAGTTTGCAATGTCCAGGGGACTGCGTCCAGGGCCGGGAGCGGCCGAGCACCAGCGCCACCAGGGCGACTCATTCCAGGCATTCCAGGGAGGCCGCCGCCGCCCCCCGCACTGCAGACCGATCCCGTAGGAGAGGGGCGGCAGGGG